CTTTCACAGATTACTGGAGCAAAGATCTGACTATTCCAACACCTTTCTTCAGGAAATATATGTCCAGAGACAGATTTCAGATACTCCTCAGGTGTGTGCATTTTGCAACTAATGAGGACCGGACTGAGGAGGATAGATTTTGGCGAGTGAGGCACTATATGAATGAGGGAATTGGAAAATTCAGAGATTTTTACGTACCAGCACAGAAGCTGGTGATTGACGAATCCCTTATACTATTCAAAGGACGTGTTTCATTCAAACAGTATATTCCCTCAAAACGAAACAGATTTGGCTTGAAATTTTTTATACTGTGTGACTGTGAAACAGGATATGTGTTACACATGATTCTGTATTCAGCTAGCGATGTAGACATTCCCGGTAACGACGAACATGGGTTCTCTGGTAGTGTGGTGATGTCACTGATGGCATCATGGATGAACAAGGGCCACATCCTATACACAGATAATTACTGTACAAGTCCATTGCTAGCTAAGTTCTTGATTGAAAATAGAACCGGGTTGGTTGGCACAGTAAAACCACGAAGAAGGGAAATGCCAGTGTTTGTCGGTGGACTTGCAGTTGGTGAGGGCCAGGTACGGAAATGTGATGAAATTCTCTCAGTACAGTGGAAAGACAAGAGAGAAGTGAACCTGCTGACAACCGTTCATGATGGTACAATGTTGAACAGTGGCAAGGTGCACCATGTAACGAGAGAACCAGTATATAAGCCAGATTGTGTTCTTGACTACAATATCAACATGCGTTTGATTGATAAGGCTGACATCATGATTGGAACTATCGAGTGTGTGCGGAAAACATTGAGGTGGACGAAAAGTGTTTTTTCATCTTGTTGACATGAGCATGTTGAACTGCTATAATTTGTACCTAGTGAAAACTGGACGTAAACCTATTTTCCGTACATTTGCTTTTACACTTTCATCACAGTTATTAGCAAAGTTTGGTCAAGAAGTCTCTGGCATACGAAGACCAATCATGAACCCAGTGTTGCAGCATGATGCAACACCCAGGCTCGCTCACATAGATGCCTTTCAGCAACACAGACTAAAGAATTTGCCAGCAGGTGGAAAGCGTGCAATAGGCCAACGTGCATGCCTAGTATGTAAAACGACGAAACGGAGAGAGCAAAAACGTAAAATGGTGCAAACGTGGTGTGAAGGGTGTGGAGTTGCATTGTGTGCTGTCGACTGCTTCAACGACTACCACACACTCCCAAGACTTCTAAATGTGCAATAATAGTGCAAAAACGTGTACATGGTGCGTGCTAGTGTGTACATATAAAATAATGAACATTGTGATTTACTGTACATAATGCCATAATGGAAAATGTTTGTGTGCGCATGTGTATACTCGATGTGTGCGCAACATATATTGACAATAACTGTCAAGTGACATTATGTGCAACATAATTGGTGACTAATATTGCAAATTATACACGTGTAAACACTGTAAATAATGACGCAAAAATAAATTCGTGGCAACTGTGGCTGCTTGAAGACCGCGCGCGGCGCCGCATGAGCGAACATGCAAACTGTGACGTCATCATCCATATTCTCGGCTCAATTACATCGCAGGTAAGTACAATTGAATTTTTTTTTATTTTCCCGTGATCAGGGAACATGACTTAACAGGTTAGGATTTTTTTTTTTTTTTTTTTTGCGCCTGTGGGTGTCAATCAGTATATAGCCATTTAAGGGTTAACCCTTACACTGCTCAGGGGTCCTTGGGACATTTACACCCCTGTGCGCAAGAAAAAAAATAATTAAAAAAAAATTTTTTCGTCTTCTAAAAATGTTAATTTGTGTCCCCTGAGCACGGAAAAAAAAAAATCGTAGGTGACATATTTTGGGCGCAATTGACCGAGGAAGTCTGGCAAAATGTGGGCGTTGACAGAGCGGTCGTCAGACCCGGTCAGCGTCACCCGCGCTGACAGGTGGGAGTTGCCACAAAGATATTATTACCTAATTGTTTCAATGTCTCCGATTGATTTTTTCTTAGTTTTTTTTGCAGTAATATTATTCAATAGTGTGTATTGTAATATATTTATATAATAAAAGTGGTTAATAATCGCTATACTCAAAAGTATGATGTGCATATTAGTGATTCAATTATTATGTTTATAAAACTATAAACAAATAGTTTTGCTGCTATTACACTCTATACACAGGTTATATATAAGTATTGGCATGTTTTGGTCACCATAACGAACCACTAAGTTGGTATTGAGAGTCGAAAAGCAACGAAGAGATACCGCCACACACCAGCCAGCCACTCGCTGCCACTCCCTCAACACACGCACTAAACTTTCTCCCCCAACAATACCAGTTGTGGTGTTATTACACTATATACAGACGTTATATATAAGTATGTATATATTTTGTTCACCACAACTGTACAGCTAAGCTGATATAGTTAGTTCAGGCACTAAGAGTCGTCGGTATACACAGATGGCGGCTGGCGGCTCCCTCACTCTTTCAAGGTCACACGCACTAAACTTTCTCCCCCAACAATACCTTTTGCAATGTTATTACCCTATATACACATATTATATATAAATATCTACATGTTTTATGCACCGTAACTGTACACCTAAGCTTGTAGTGCGCCCAAAAAGCATAGTGGCCACCCTCTAAACAGCTAGACAAATCGTGCAGACGACATCACCTCCGTCACCCATATGGCTCCTCCCAGCATAATCCTTTTGCTGTTATTACACTAATTCACACATTATATATAAGTATCTACATTTGTGTTCACCATAGAGAACCACTGACCTGGTATGGTGAATGCAAACAATAACAGGTGGCCACACAGTCAGTAAACGATGCTGTCTCCCTCCGTCTCTCAGCATCACTCCTCCCACAGCGCTAATTATTACACCAATCCTGCTATTATCACAACCCTGGTTATTTATATCACAGTCATTGGTCATCTGTAATATTGTCATCGCTAAATAATAACAATTATATATTTATTTTGACATTTTTCGGCGATGCTGTGGTCACAAGCTGAACATCAATGCTGTTCGCTCATGCTGCGTGCGCCGGCCTTGGTTGCTCCAACAGTACTGTGCCTCTCACACCTGAGAATATTGCCCACGATTTTTTTTTAAAATGGCATCTGTTTACAAGAACCCTGAGGAAGCTACTGTGAGCCCCGTGTAGCCGCGGGCCATTTGAATCAGGCCTGGCACCCTATGGCGTATATATACGCCATGCGCACCATGGGACATGTTACTCAGGGCGTATATATACGCCATGCGCAGTTTAAGGGTTAATGAACTGTACAGTAATTTTAAGTGTTAATTTTAGTGTTGTGTTAGTATAGGTTACGTAAATTGTTAAGAATTCTTAACTTCAAGATGTGTGGCATCAATCAAGACGACGAACACCAACAAGGTAAGTTGAGGTTTCTAGTTGAATATTTAATAATTATATGTGGCAAGGCAATTCAAATTATGTTGTTTGTAGTATAAAAATACTTGGAAATGGTCACTTTTGGACTCGGAGGTGAAAAAGTACCATTATCCGGAACACGTGAATATCCGGCTGGGGGTTCTTCCCATATAGTCCGGATAATCGAGTGGAGACAGTACTCTAAATAAGTATAAGAACTGTGTGGTCGTGGGTGAATTGGAATAGACACTGGGGCGAGAGGAGGCATGGGTGAGCGTGTAGGCCTCGCCATGGGAGGCAGCTGCATCTCATTTTCACTGTCTGTGCTACTATCATCGGTCTATTGTGTGTAGTCCTTATCAATGTCAGTCATCAAAATCACTTTTCTCACCATCAGAAAATAATTCACTAGTTATTTGCTCCGGAGTAAGAGATTGCGTGCTGCGTGCCCGGGAGGCGTTTGGCCGTGTGTTCTCACGCATATGTGGGGAGAGCAGGATTTTTTTTTTTTACAAAGTGGCAGCTGCTTACTATAGCCCTTGGGCAGCGTATGGGCCCCCTACCCTGCTGGCCATTCAAATCTTGCATTGTGCTCCATCACTTCATGAGACATGATGCGCAATTAATAGCAAGTTACTCAACAACACATATGACGTGTTGCGCAGTTTAAGGGTTAAGATGAGGGGCAATGTTCCTCATTGTCTCCAGGTAGCGCTTGGCTGGACTAGAGACTGCTGACCTGACGAAACATCGTTTTGTAACACCACCCACCTCATTTGAACTAGCGACAGGCGTGGTAACACTATTCTCTGATTCTACATCACTAAAATCAGAAAATGAGTCACCATCCACAGACTCGTCGCCCATAACATCATCATGTTGTACAGTAACACATGAACTGTGTAATGGGGTGCAAAGATGGTGTGGGGTGTGGGCGAGGTGGCACAGGTGAGTGGATTGGCCTGACCCTCGTGGCACCCAAATGTTCACTCTTGCTGTCGGTCGTATCCACATCTGAGGGCTGTGTGTAGTCTTCATCTATGTCAGAGTTGTCAATATCAGGTTCCGCACCCTACTTGAACACCTCCATATGATTTTCTTGTTTGGTCAATGACTGGGAGGCGCAGTGCTTAGCACAGTCAGACACGGGTGTGATGCGCTTGCCATGGTGTCTGGTAACTGTGGTGCCCCTCAATGGTGGTCTATGCTGGATTTTTTCCAAGATGGTATCTGTTTACTATCGCCGCTGGCTAGCATATGGGTGCCCCCTTTACCCAATGGGACATTTAAATCATGCGCGGCACCCTCAATCGTTTATAGATGTGCGCTATTCTGTCACAGTTACTCCCATCGTCTATGTATGTATTGCGCTCTTTAAAAGTCAAGAACTTTTCCTCACACTCCTAGGTAAACACTGCCTCTGCCTCCACCATCACCTTCACTACCATCACCATCATCACCACCATCACCATCTCCAGCATATGCTCATTTCAGCACCTAATCTTATTACAAACCTTATGTGAGATTTGTTGGCTCCGAGGATATTTTCCCAAATTATCTTCATTAAAAAAAAAATTTAAATTTCAGGCTGAGCAAGAGAAAAAGGCAGCAATTATTAGTGCTGATGGTGATGCATCAGCTGCTACGCTGCTAGCCAAGTCATTTGGTGAAGCTGGAGAGGGCCTTGTGGAACTCAGGCGAATTGAAGCTGCTGAGGACATTGCTTACAGGTATGTTTCTGATAGAGGTGCTTTATAATGTCTTTTGAATGATTTGTGTGTGACAGCTGATCTGTAAAAATTTAATATAAAAGTGTTTCCTCACTTCAACGAACTATATGGGGCGAGGCCAATTCGTTCCACCGCGCAATTCATTCTACCCATCAGCCCCAGGCTGTCACCTCTCCATGTGAAAAAAATAGAAGTCCTACATCGAATATAAAAAAAAAAAAATCATAAATTCTATTTGTTATATATTTATCATTTTGAACATGGCACATGTTCAGTAGCACTAGAAATATGCTCAAACTGCATACCCCTAAGAAAAAAGGAGATGCAAATTGGAAAGAGAACGTTGTTCCCTCTAATAGGCGAAGAAAACGAATCACGGAACAACTTGTCGCACCCTATCTCAAGCACTGCTAAGAAGGTTAGGTAGGGAAATAGAAACAATTGAACTAAAGCTACAAGAATCATACAAAACCCAGGAGAGAGAGAGAGAGCAAAAGGCCATCAGTTAAATAGAGAAATCCAAAATACTTTTTCTCCTCCTATGCAAGATAACGATAAAAAAAAAACATCTAGTATCGGGCCCCTGAGAATGGGAGATGGAACTTTCACTGATGACAACAAAGACATGAGTGAGATACTGAGGAAGCAGTACGACTCTGTTCAGCGAACCACTGAAGATTGATAACCCAAATGATTTTTTCATGGATTCCAACATCTAATCACATATCAGACGTCACCTTATCCCCACTGGATTTTGAAGAAGCCATAAACAGTATGCCTATGCATTCTGCACCAGGCCCTAATTCTAGTTTGGGTAGCTGAATGGCTACCCAAACTACTTTTTTGATTACACTGTTGTATTCCACACCAAAAGTTGTCCTGGTATGCCAAATTTCACACCTCTCTGGACACTAGACGTGATTTGATAAAGGGTCAAAGTTGGCCCATTTTACGATATGTACGCATTAACGGGATGAGAGCCCATTGAACATGGGCCTATTATTTAAGAACCAAAGCAGATTGAGCTCTAATATTTTGCACAATTTCATTTGGGGTCTAGGGCTACTTTATTACAAAATTTCATTAGATTTAGAAAGGGTAGAGTAGGAGGCCTTTGGTGAATTCACATGGAATGACCCCATTTAAAAAAAATCGTGGGCAACATTCTTGGGTGTGAGAGCCTCAGTACTGAGTGAGTGAGCAGCAACCAAGTCTGAGAATGCAAGGCTCTCACAACACCTCCAAGATTTCTCCAGGTGTTGGACATGTGAACATGCCTCAGTTCTGCCTGCCTTGTGTTTTTCCCTGGGCACAGTTTGGCTTCAGAGGATGTACTGGTATCTCTGGGGTTCCTCCCATTCGTCGCGCTCACAGTATGGTCCAGGAGTTTGCAGCCGTGTGGCACGTGCTGAGGAGGGTTCAGATTTCACAGGACGCTGTGATTCAGCCTTATTCACACTGTTTCCCCAAGGTTCATTTTCTCAGCCAGGAAAGTTCACTGTGATCCCTGCTTCATTGATGCTAGAATTTTTTGGATTGCTATTCTTCTGGGTTCTTGTAGTTTGGTTCTCCTCGTGGTTCATGTTCAGGGAGTATTCAATGTCCTCACTGATGGTGTGTCCCAGTTCCTTTCCATTTCCATGGAGTGGACTGTCAGTCGCTTCCTTTGTGGCTTTCCCAGACGTTCAGGTGTCCCTATGTGGACCTCTTTGTGTCGGCACAGACTCGTGCCTTCCCTAGTACATGGCGTCATTCTCTGATTGCAAGGATCTCACAATAGATGCCTTTCAGCTGTGGACTGGTTGTGATGGGGTGTTCCTTAACCTCTTTCCACCAATCCAGCTTTGGGTCCTGGCTTGGTTCCAGTCTTACCAGGTTCTCCTTCAGGTTTATAATCATTTGTATGACAGTCAAGTGTCCTTGGTGTCCTGCTGGTGTTTTCCTTTGGTGGCAGCATCAGGTTTCATGGTGTTCTTTTCGCCACTTCCTTTCTTTACGTTGTCAGTCTTCGGTTTGTGCAGGTGGTGCGCTCCATTCATTTTTTACTCGTTCTTGATCAGCGTCTCATGCCGTGTGACGCTGGCAGAGCCGCTGCAGCTTGCAATACTGGGTCAATACTTCCTTGTCCCTGTTTCGCATGCTGTCTCACGTCTTGCTTCACCTCTGGCCTGTTGATGTGCTGCCTGAGCCTGCTTGGTCTTTAGATCATGTTCTTTCCCTTCTTCTCATCAGTTCACAGCGTGCTCTTCAATGCGAAATTACTTCATCAAGGCTTTGATTTTGGTCTACCTCGCCTCCAGTTGTAGGGTTGGGTAACTTCGTGCTCTTTAACAATTCTCCAACAACAGGGCCAAGAGAACAAAACTTCCGGTGGTGGGAGTTTTGTTCTGTTGGCCCTTGTGGGAGGTTTGTTCCTCTGCAGCCGGCTCCTCCTTTTCTGTTGCAAAACGAGTAGGTTGATTTCTGGAGAGATCTTTTGGTGCTTGGTTGGTTCAGCCGAGGGTGCATCATCCGTTACATCCTGTGGTGCCTCTCCACTACTACCTTCATTGTTTACAGTATTTTGTTTGACTTTTAGTAAGCTTTTCCCGATGGTGGCATAAATAAATGCCACTGTTCCCTTTTTGTGTATGGGGAGGCCAGGTCCAGGCACTGGTCCCCAGCAGGATAAATTTTAACTGGTACTTGGCACACTATCAGTGATTGTAGCTTCAGGGAGTCACTTGGGCTTACCCAGAAATTGGAGTTTCCTTACGTTCAGCATTGGTGTTTTAATCTTTAGCTGTATCTTGCACTTGTTACGGGTAGAAGCCCCATTTAGATTCAGCAGTTAAGTTTTGACCATGGTAATAGTGTACATGAATTCACTAGAACACATCCAGTATAGAGAAGGATAATGGTTAATCCCATAAATTAGAAACCTAGCAACCTCCCTTGTAAAGAAATTAAAAGTTTATTATATACATACTGTAGAAAAATTGAATGAATGGTTATATGATTGAAGTATATAAATGGGGTCATATATAAAGTTTAAGTACTGTATACACAAAATAGTATATTAAACAACAGATATAAATTAGATAAATGTAGATCCAGGAAAATCCTCTAGGGAAAAAACTGATTTGTTGATTAATAGAACAAATTACCAACCATCATAATAGTCATGGGATTTGTTAGATTGTTTCAAACCTTAGTTAGACGTGTATATAAGTGAGATTGGTGGATAATAAATAGGAGCTGCCTCACATGGGCCAGTAGGCCTTCTGCTTTGTTATTTGTTTTATTATGTTAAGAGGCCCGGTGACAGCGCACCGAAACTTCTTCAAACACACTCAATTTTTTTGTGGATAATATCTTCAGTGTAAATGCTGCAACTTTTCCTAGTGGATAAACATCATACCATAACAGAAAAAAAATTAAAAAAGAAATAGAAAAAATTCACAATTTCAAATTTTTAATGTTTAACCAATTGTTATTTTATTCCTTATAGTCTCAGAATGGCATATAACGTTCATGTTTCCTATAGCAAAATATTGTTTTAAAGTATAGTTTACTGTAAAAAAAATTTCAATGTTGCCATCCAAATATGTGCAAAATTTATAACTCCAAACGTTATGGCTTTGACTAAACGACAGCAAAAACCCTTACGAACTAAGAGCTTTGCACATGTAAAAATGGTGAGAATCTGTCAGAAACTTAATTTTTGACAGTGTCTCAAAGTTGAAATTCCTGTTTTAGAGATAATTGAAGTTGAAGTTATTGACAGTGAATATGGTAGTTCTAATTAATGAATTTTCTTGTATGTTTTAATAAACATTGCTTGGCATTCATACTCAAATATGTGAAAGTTGTAGGTCAATATGTGTTGAAATGAAGTCAAGAAAAATAAACCCCCCAAAAAAGAATATATAGAGATAACTGTAAAACAGACACTGGGCCCCTTAACTGTCTAACAGTAGGTTAGACATGCAGGTATATATGAATGAGATCGGGTGGATATAAATAGGAGTTGCCTCATATGGGCCAATTGGCCTTGTGCAGTTACCTTCATTCTTATGTTCTTATAATGAAACATATATTGCAGTAACTTAATTATCCATATATAAATGATAAGGGCTCTCATCTGGTCCTCATTCGTCAGTTCAGCCTAAATAGACAGAGAATACATGTAGTTTGAAATCTGTAAATAAATCGGCTAAAAAAAAAAAAGTCACAACTTCTGCCACCTGCGGCTGGTGGCAGTTGTGGTGCCACCTGCGGCTGGTGGCAGTTGTGGTGCCACCTGCGGCTGGTGGCAGTTGTGCCACCAGCGGCTGGTGGCAGTTGTGGTGCCACCGGCCGCAGAAGTTTCGTTGCAACTTCACATTCTTAGTGCAAGGTATGCATTCTCCAAGATGTAGGAGTCACAACAAAATCTACATAGGAGCATAGGAGAGGAAAAAGAAAATGGGGATTGTCAGCTTTTTGTACAAAGGGACATAAGAAATATTGCTATTGGGCAATGTATTTATATTATATACTGTATATAATAAAATACAGCATAATGACATACTAACTCATTATTATATATGAAATCTTGCCCTCCAGATGGCACCAGCTGCATATCCACTTTGTAGACCATCCTTACTACTACTTTTCTTCTTTTGAGCATCAGACAGGTGCCTGCGTCTCTATCCCTGATTGCCAGTAAATAGGTGTTATCGTTATTATCAGTACCGGTGGCCGTCTGTCGCGCGCACATTTATTTTTTTTTAAATTCTTAAAAAAAAATTCATTTTTTAACATATTGGGATGAAATTTGTCATGGCTGATGCCAAATACCAGAGTTTTTTCACTATACTGTATTTTGTATTTGGAAAAATTTCCATCACTGGGTCCCTTAATAAATTAAGTTCATCCTTTCTGGAAACGTGATTTCATCTCCTTTTTTCCCTCAATTGGAAGTGAGAATTGGGATGATAATGATTTCCTTTGATTTTGATGGTAACAACAGAGTACTGTAATCGTAAATACTGACATAGTTATTATGTTTCAGGTTGGCGAAGAACCGCAATGTGGCATATCTACCAGGCAACCAGGGCACCCTCTTATCTCTTCCTCAGTGAGATTCTTCAAAGACTTGGGATATATCTTTACACAATCCAGAAGGCAGAGTTGGGAACTATATATAATGTTTGACTTAAATATTCGTCATAATAAAAGTAAAAAAAAAAAAAAAAATCTGCCAATAATTATTGTTCCTGAAGATCCTTAAGAGTTTAAGGAGTTCAAATGATTCATTAGTTTGAAGCAAACTATTTCAAGTCAATATTTTTCATTATATGCTCCCTTGGTACAACAATGTTGTAAAATAAAATTGTAGTTCAAAATATTGTATCTAAGGTATTTACAGTCATCAAAGCTTTCATTCCACATTTACCTTAAAAATAGTGTAATTAAATATACTTGAATTTTGTTGCACTTGAATTTTTCATTCATAAAGAAAATTGAGAGAACTAATAACCAGTGAACATTGTGTGGATGTTTGGGAGACAGTCAGCCAGTAGCTGGAACATGTACTTCCTATCTCTTATGTATAAAGAAATGTTCAAATTGTAATTATCATTTTGTAAAGAAAGGTAAATAACTTTATTTTTTTTTCTTTCCCCAGTGTTAATGTTTACAATATTTTTGTAAACTATAAGTATGGTAGGTATGTTCCAGAGCTTGGAAGATGTGCAATCAAGCACATCTATCATTCAATGGGAAACTGTTTTAAGTAATACAAATCCTATACAAGGGAAAAACAAGAACTGACTTTGGAAGCATATAAAATGTCTGAAACATGTTCCTTTGAGGAAAGCCAGGAAGAGGTTCAACGTAGAAAGAGAACACAGACAACACTACAAAAGAAACATAAAAATTACGGGAATTCTTACGCAGACCCGACTCCCTAAAAAGGAATAATATAAACAGGAAGATTGCAAAGACTGAAACATTCAGCTCAGATTGACATAAGGCAACTAGAACAGACAGCAATTAAAGAAATAAAGAAAAAAACAATTTCTTCACATATGCAATAGCAAAAACCACAGCCAGTATTGGACCTATTCATACAATGAAATGACAAAGAAATTGGTGAAATCCTAAAAAAACAGCATGAGGACATATTTAGCACTAATAAACAGCATGAAATTGGAAGATCCGAACAACTTTATGCGTGACATCCAGACCCCTATAACTGATATTAACAAGAGTGGCAGACTTTGAAAGAGTATGACAACATATCTCGTGCACTAGGCTCCGGATCCAGACTCTTGTAATTCAATATTTATAAAGACATGCAAAGTGCCAGTAACAGGCACCTAGTATAGTGTAGAGGAAGAGCTTTGACACAGGAAGGCGGGTGGGGGGATGCCAGATGTGCTTAAATCAGCAGACATAGCCCCTGTACACAAGGGAGGGAGCAAAGCATTACCAAAGAATTGTACACCAGTTGCACTAACGTCCCACATAAAAGTATTTAAGAGAGCGATCAGGAGTCAGGTCACCAGTTTCATGGAGACCAATGACCTCCATAACCCAGCCCAATATGGATTTAGAGCAGGAAGATCATGCCCCTCTCAGCTACTTGACCACTGACAAAGTCACCGAGGCATAAGAAGAAAAACAATGCAGATGTGGTATACACGGACTTTGCAAAGGCATTCGATAAATGTGATCATGGAGTGATAGCACACAAAATGAGGTCAATGGGAATAACTGGTAAAGTAGGACGGTGGATAATTTTTGTCAAACAGAACACAGAGTAACAATCATATAAAATCGAGTCCAAGCGCAGTTAAAAGCTCTGTACCTCGGGGCACAGTCCTTACACCACTGCTTTTCCTTATTCTTATATCAGATATAGACAAAAATACAAGTGACAGCTTCGTATCATCTTTTGCAGATGACACAAAAATCAACATGAAAATTACCCCTGCTGAAGACATTGAAAAACTACAAGCAGATATTAATAAAGTTTTTGACTGGGCAGTAGAAAATAACAGGATATTTAACAGTGATAAATTTTAGGTACTTGGGTACAGTAAAAATGAGGACCTTAAACATAATACAAGGTACAGACCACAATCGACTTGAGAATGGTCCAGGACGGACCGAAACGTCGTCGTCCCTTCAATTTCTAGAAAGGAGACTAATAATGATGTCTGACAGCCTAACGTTTTGGGAGCATAACCAAGCAAATATTACATCAGCCAGAAAAATGATAGGATGGATTACGAGAACGTTCAAATCCCGGGATCCCATCACAATGGTTGTACTATTCAAATCACTGGTATGTCCTGTATTGAGTACTGCTCAATACTCACTTCCCCCTTTAGAGTAGGAGAGATTGCTGAAATAGGAGGAGTAAAGAGAAAATATATGGCATACATAGACGCGATAAAGCACCTAAATTATTAGGATAGTCTCAAGGCTCTCCAAATGTACTCACTAGAAAGGAGACGAGAGAGATATCAAATAATGTACACTTGAAAAATAATGGAGGGCCAGGTCCCAAATCTACACAGTAAAGTAACAATATACTGGAGTGAACGATATGGAGTAAAATGCAAAATATAATCAGTGAAGAGCAAGGGGGTGTTGTAGGCACAATCAGAGAACACTATAAACATCAGAGGTTCACGGTTGTTCAACCTCATCCCTGCGAGTATAAGAAATATTGCCGGAAAACCGAGGACATCTTCAAGAGAAAACTAGATAGTTTTCTTCAAGAAGTGCCCGACCAACAGGACTGTGGTGGATATGTGGGCCTGCGGGCTGCGCCAAGCAACAATCTGTTGGACCAAGCTCTCACAAGTCAAGCTTGGCCTCGGGCCGGGCTTAAGGAGTTGAAGAATAACCAGAACCCCATCAAGAAGTTAGCCTTACATTATGAATACTTTTATTGTTCCTAGATACCTGGAAGATACCCTTCTAGGGAGTGTGTGGGCTAGCCTACAATCAGTGAACTAGCATAATAAAAAACAAGATGCAGTATTATAATTGTGAGTATGTGACAACATGGGTGTGTGTTAAGTCTCGGAATCATATGGATAGATGCAAAATAAGAAGCTCTGAATGTGTTACATCTGACAACAAAGAAAATGAGAATGGTAAGGAGTTGAGGAAGGTATGGGATACATAAGATTTTTTGTATAATTTGATTATTATGCTATTGCACAAAATGCAAGACAAAAAAAATGGCAAGTGGTGGTGCTGCACATGCACAAAAAGATGAGAAAAACAAAATTCATACGTGTGAAATCAAAATTCAAAATCTCCATTAGTATTGGATCTTTACTTAAACTGAAGGTGCGTACACAGTGGATGACAAAAAATTTGTGAAATCCCAAAGGCCAGTATGAGGCAATGTTTAGCACCCTAATAATCTACTTGAAAGTTGAAGATCCAGACAGCTTCTTTATTTATCTGAAAGCCACTAATACAAGTGGCCTCGACGAGTACAGGAAGCTGGTGGCTTGTCAAAGGTGCATTGATCTTTTCCAGTTGGACTTTTAAAATTTAACATTTTAAATGTTAAAATTTTTGGCATTGACGGCTATGGCGGGTAGGCGCTTCCATGGGTTAATAATCCTGTGAGTGAAGAAGCAGCTCCTGTTCTCAGTTCTACATTGTGAGTTGTTGAGCTTGAAACCGTTGCTTCTTGTTTGTGTTACGTCTGACCTTTTGAAGAAAATGTCCGAATCAACATCCAACAAATTGTTCGGTATTTTAAAAGTTTTAATGAGATCTGCCCTGACATGTCTGGTTTGAAGTGTTGTTAGCCCTGTGGCCCTCAACCATCCCAGATACGAGAGTTGACTTGGCTCTGGAATGATTTTTGTTGCCCGGTGTTGTACTATCTCCAGAACTGCTGTCCTTCTGAAGATGTGGTCTCCATGCTTGTATACAGTAATCCAAATGGGGGGTTCATCAGAGATTTATACAGTTGGATCACTACCTTCTTATCCTTAAAGTCAAAGGTACGCTTGATTATTCCAAGTGTTTGGCCAGCTTTTTTAACTACTGCTCTTACCTGTTCAACAACTTTCAGTGAGTGGTGGATTTTGACTCTAAGGTACTCCATCAATACACACAGACTTCACACTAACGTGATGCATCAAATGAACAAATCCACAAGGGCCGTGACGAGGATTCGAACCTGCTTCCGGGAGCATCCTACCTGTTCGATTAAGGCAGTGTCTGGGATGCTCCCGGATGCAGGTTCGAATCCTCGTCACGGCCCTTGTAGATTTGTTCATTTACTCCATCAATCTGTCCCCGTGGTGAAGTGGTGAAACACTCGCCGGGAAAGTGAGCTGCTTTCCCCAGGCCAAACCAAGCGCTCTCGGATCTTGGATAAATAGTGTCACGACTACCAAGATTTTTGTAGAGTCGTGTGGTCTAGTGGTTAAAGAACCAGGTACGCCAAGGAGCATAGTGCTCCTGTCTGTCTGGGTTCGAATCCTTCTAGGGTGTGGAGTTTTCAGTTACATATTGGCTTGGGGGACCATTCAAGCTTGTTCGCATTTGTGTTGCTCACATGGCTCGTGGATGAATGTAGAAAATAGAGAACTATTAGCTGAATATCAGATAAATGGATTTAAACTATTTCACACAGATAGATATATTAGACGAGGAGGGGGAGTAGCCATATATGTTAGGGACAATTTGAAATGTAGTCTCAAAGAGGGAATCAAAACTGAGCCACACACAGAAACTATTTGGATAGAATTAAACGAAAAAGCAAATAATATTATAATAAGAATTATATATAGGCCACCAAATTAAGACAGAATGGAAGCAAAGCATCTATGGGATGAAATATCTAGAGCATCTAGATCTAACAGTATTTATGTCATGGGTGACTTTAATTTTAGTGGAATAAACTGGGTGAACAAAACAGGGAATAGTGAAGCAGAAGATTTTCTAGAATTAATTGACGATTGCTTTCTTACGCAACACATTAAGGAACCAACGCGGGAAAATAATATTTTAGATTTAGTGTTAACTAACAGGGAAACACAAATTAATGACATCGAAATAGGGAGTGAGCTAGGGAACAGTGATCACAAAGTAATCAGATTTAGCATAGAATGGAATAGACCTGTAGGAGAAAATTCTGTTAAAGTGCCAGATTTTCGAAAAGCTGATTTTAATAGCCTAAGAAATTTTTTGGGTCAAATAGATTGGAAAGTCTTGGGTATGGGGTGTGGGCCGGTCTTGGAGCGAGACATGAACCCAGCGATAGGTGACGTAAAAGGGGATTTCGATGTGGATTTAATATATAACTTATTTAAGAATATTCTAAACAAAGCACAGGAACGTAGTATACCATACAAATTGAATAGATCGAATACTAATGACCCAAAGTGGATAACAAATAATTTAAAGAACCTTATAGGTAAAAAGAGAGCTTGGTACAAAGGGATTAAGAATGGGGAAGTCAGTTTAGAACAGGAATTCATACAACTGGTTAGAAATGTTAAAAAAGAGATTAGGAAAGCAAAAAGAAACTATGAAGTTCGCATAGCAGAGCAAGCAAAGACAAATCCTAAAGGGTTTTTTCAGTTATATCGAACTAAGACTATGGAAAGGATAGGTCCATT